CTGATATCAGGGGCTCAAGTGGGAAAACACTGCTTTGAAAATGATGATGGCAGCATATGTGCAAATGTGCTCGACACACTGGATGAATGTATGAATCGTGGTAAGAGATGTAAGAGCCCCCCAAAAAAAGTATTTAAAAAAATAAAATAAAGTAAAAAATATATAATATGCAAACAGTATGAAAAAGAAACTTGGAGTGTTTATAATAATATCAGATATAAAACAGACTTTAAGGCAAGAAGCATAAAAAAAACACAAAGGGACATCTGATGATATAAGGATCAATTCATCAAGAACACTTGACAATCTTGAACATATATGTAATTAATGTTGCAAAAACGGCAACTCTGGTCAAATTGACCTATAAACATTTAAATGCAATCCTATAAAAATTCCTGTAGGTTTTTCCTTTGCAGAAAGAAAAGTCTAAAATTTATATGTATAGAAACTACCAAGGATAAGCCCCCAAAGCAAAGTTTTGAAAACTTTTAAGATATAATCAAACACCTTCAGGGGCTGAGTTGATGCTGGGCCTGGGGGCTCAGGACCTTAGTTTTGAGGGACACAATTCACTGACCTAACATCGTTCACAAAGATAATGTTCTACATCCTATGTGGGTATTGACTGGGGTCTGCAAACCTTGTGGGCAGCTATGTCAGGTGCAACTGCTGTTTCTCCCCATTTGGAAGAAGGAAGAATGATCAAAATCGAAAGACATATGGATACAATTGTTGCATAATAGGACAAAGAATCCTCAGCCACCGCAAAACTGAGACCGGAAGAACTAGGTGGTGCACGGCCATCACTACTGAAAGCCACTCTGAGAAAGATTACTTTAGAAGGTCCTGGATAGAGTGGTAGAAAACGTGAAACAAACAACATCATCATGAAAGAGACTAAGCTTACTGGTCAAAGATTGGTGGAATGCCCAAAACTACAGCCCTAAACTCCTTTCAGGTCCAAAACTGAATTCATCCCCGTGTTAGAATAGACGATTATTGAAATTATTTAGAAAGGTCCCAACAACTCTGGCTGCAAGATTTTATGAGACAGCTTTGTGAGAACATAGGATAAGGGGCTTGGCCACTGGCTTTCCGTCTATGCTATTACTTCACTCCTCCTATCACCTGTGAAAACCTGGCTGGTGCCCACGTGCAATAATTAACTGCTGAGTGGCCTCCATTCCTGGGCTCCATTCCCACTGCCTGTCTCCTAGGCCACGAAGCTACTGCTGCCCCTGCAATAAGACAAGGGTGAGTGGAGCGGAGCCGAAGCCAGTGCTGGACCCACAACCATTTCCTCTCCAGCTCTTCCTTCAGAGACCAACATGGCAGGACAGATGACAATGCAGCTGCTGTTCCTCTTGCTGCTGGTGGCTGATGGATGGGGTATCATGCGCCAGACTATGGAGGCCTGGATGGAACTCCTCAATGTCTGCATGGACACCAAGCACCACAAGGAAAAGCCAGGCCCTGAGGACAAGTTGCACGACCAGTGCAGCCCCTGGAAGAATGCCTGCTGCTCCGACAACACCAGCCAGGAAGCCCACAAGGTCTTTTCCTACATGTACAGATTCAACTGGGACCACTGCGGGAAGATGCAGCCTGCCTGCAAGCGCCACTTCAGTCAGGACGCCTGCTTCTGAGTGCTCCCCCAACTTGGGACCCTGGCTCCAACAGGTAGACCAGAGCAGGCGCAAAGAGCGGGTGCTGAACGTGCCCCTGTGCCAAGAGGACTGTCAGAGGTGATGAGAGGATTGCCACCTGTCTTATACCTGCAAGACCAACTGGCACAAGGGATGGAACTGGACTTCAGGGTATAGCCAGTGCCCAGCAGGAGCTACTTGCCAGGGCATGGATTTCTACTTCCCCGCATATGGATTTCTCTGCGGCCCAGTTATGAGGGCATTTGGAGCCACTACATGCAGATGTGGAGCGGCCACTGCATGCAGACGTGGTTTAATCCAGCCCAGGTGCTAAGTTCTATGCTGAGGCCATGAGCGCAGCAGCAGCTGCCCCCTGGGCCCCGACCCGTGCTCTCCTGCTCAGCCCAGTCCTGCTGCTCTGGCTGTTGGCTGATCGCCTGCTGCCTGCTGGGACCCACACAACACAGGCCTGGCCTGGCCCCCAGCGCTCAGTGACTCAGTTTGTGCTCTGTAGCAGGGCTCTCTGAGTGCGTTTAAGTAAATAGTCAACCCCCAAGCCCCCCAAAAACCATTATTTAAGATCTAAAAAGCAGCATTTACCCAAGGACAGAGTGTTAGTCAAGGAAGAATAAAATAAGAAAACAGAGGAAATGAGATACATGGTAATACAATGAAAGGATTGCAATGAATGAAATGAAACAAAATACATATGAATTGTTGAATGTGAAACTAATGATCTGTTGTTCTTTACACCTTCACCTAATTCAAAATAAAAAGTCTTTTTAAAAAAGCTCTCTTAAAAAAAAAAAAAAAAGCTCTCTTAACCTGCCAAATGTCTTTAAAGTGTAAGACAGGATGAGGACTAGGTGATCCATACAAATTCCCTAGATATAACAGTACTTGTCAAATTCCCTAGATATAACAGTACTTGTCAAATTCCCTACTTACCTTTCTGTGTTTTACCAACAAATTTCCATCAGGCCCAAACACAGCACATGTGTTATATAATTTCCCTTCATCTGCTTCAGGAATGGAACCTTGCATTAAGGAGAGAAAGACATAGACACACACAAAAAATTCAGAATAGAGCAAAAAAAATTTTTTTCCTTTTGTAAGTTTGATAAATTTTCATTAGATACAACAATCAAGTTGACTGTCTTTTAGGGGTTATTTACTCATGGGTTGTTTTCTTTTCCTTTCTTGAATAAATCTTTCAGAGATAAACTCCAGAGTGTAGACAAAATATAATTAGATGTGATACCAAAGATGGGCTTAAAAAAATAAGCAAACAGTTCTTGGAATACAGCCTTGCCCCTGAGCAACACTAAATCTGTGATGTTAGCGTAAAATGGGGAATTTCCTGTTCCTCAAATTACATTTAGTAGGCCCTACAACAGGACTGTATCCCAATACATCTTAAGTCAGGGAATGTTAAGCCCAAGCCACTAAACACAGATCCTGCAGAGGTTCTGTCTCTGTGCTCTTGCTTTGCCTTCATTCCTGAGCTTCCGCTCGACTGCTAACCTAAAGGATGGAAGTGCACGTCCACACAGAGGTGTCGGGAAGAAATGCCGAGTGGTCGGTCTACTTCTGAAAACTCAGCCGCCGAACATGCCATGGAGCACAGTTCTGCTCGGTCAGAGAAGTCAAACTGACCTGACAGCAACTGGTTTGGGGTCTTTGGTTTTTAATCAAATAGTCTAATCCTTAATATACATGAATTTTTTTCCTATACTTATTAAACAGTTTTGCTGTACTAATTTTTTTTAAGTTGAGCCAAAGGAACATTAAAAAATATATCTCAAAATAACATAATGTTACCTTTATGTATGTGGCCTCTTTGGGAAAAAATAAAAATCCAATCTTATTTTATAATGAAAGACACTTCGTGTGATTCTCTTTCTACTACTACTTTCGCAAAAGCACTACTGAAATCTGTCTTTGTAATCTCATTGCTTCTCGAGGGAAAATCATCCGTATCAAGTCTGTGTCGATCCTTCTATCACCGGCACTAGACTCATGATGGCACTATCGGACAAAGTAAAATTGCCTCAGAGGGTTTTCTAGGCAGTAAATCTTTCATGGAAGCACAACGCCACATCTTTCTCCTGCAGAAGGGATTGTGGTTTTAAACCACTCATCTTTCCGTTAGCAGCCAAATACTTAACCAGTGCTCCATCTGCACTCTGTTTCACATATCCACGTGTACAAATATATAGCTTTCTTTTGTTTGCAGGATTAAATTGAATGGGAATAACTTGCTCATACTATGTTGAACTTGCTTTTTTCCACTTACTAATGAGGCTTTCAAACCTTTCCGCTTTACTACATATAGATCTACTTTGTTCTTTTCAATGGCTGAACTGCATTTGCCAGTTTTCATATAATAAGAAAAATCATTCTGATGTTTCAATGTTTAGGCCATTATACCATGCACGGGTGGGAAGTTACCTCCAATGAGATAGATGCTGCACTCCTTTGCTACTTCAGAAAGCTTCTGTGTGGATTCTCCAGGAATTTTCTCTGCATATTCAGGAAAATATGTTGTACCATATGGAGAATTAAAACATTCCTAAGATAAAGTTGTCAGAGAAAAAGAGAAAAAAAATCTAAGCACTCAAATATCATCATGCTAATATTCTACTCTGACAGCTGCTTCTATTAGTTCTGCTCTCACTTAAAGGAATAAAACACCGCTAAGAACAAAGGTGATAACTCAGGGGCCCAGGCAAGACTCAAACCTGGCTTAGATATATCTGTAAGAGAGAAGTCAAGTTGATCAGGCTGAGTTTGGCAGAGGCCAGATCTGTCTATAATAACTAGTTCCTAACCTTGGATATCTAGGATGTTAAGAATTGAACGTGTGCCCCCAAATAGGTATTGTACATGGGAGTCCCTATAGTGATTAATGTAATCCCATTTGGAAACTGGGATTCCTTATTATTATTATTAAAAGATTATTTTATTGGGGGCTCTTACAGCTCTTCTAACAATCCATAAGGCCCTACCACTGTACAGGGTGTCATAAACCCCTTTGGAGATCTAAAATGAGCAAGTTAAGCATAAGGGGAGACAGCTGTCTCGAGGAGCTCTCTAAGGAATACCAAGAAGGTAGGTAGAGAAACCAAGACAAACATCTTCTCCCAGAAGGAGATAGCGCCTTCCCCTATAACTGGTGCTCCGCATTCAGATTTGTACTTCTCCAAATGGTAAGAAAATCAATTTTGTTAAAGGCACCCACTTGTGATGAGGTACGGAACCTGCTATGACTGGGCTTATTCATAGACTTTGGGAGCTGGGGTGAGTTCATACGCTCCAAATGATCATTATGAACTATAGAGCAGTGAGGTCTGTTTTTGAAAAAAGTACTTAATCTTTAGAAGCCACAGAGGATAGATACTTCCTCATATATAAACTGAGTCATTTCTAAATTCACTTTCAGAACTATTATTCTGATCCTATGAAGTCTCTCATGCCAACCAGGGTATGAGTGTGGTCAAGAGTTCTGGGCTGTTTCAGAAAATAGGAGGCAAAAATTACTAGACTTGGGATTTGCATTCATTTGCTTTTGCATTTATTGAGATCTCCTGTGTACCAGGCACTGCACCAGGAAACTCGAGCCCAGGGATTGCTCCTTGTACAAGACTCATGCTGGATAGTCACTGAGATGGGCAAGTGCATAATTCAAGCGCTTTCATTCCTCGGCTTTTTTTAATCCTGATCTTGGCAACCTAAACCAAGAGACCATGTTCAGGGCACAAGTCCTACAACTGGAGGCATAAGAACACTGGATTCAGAATACGACTTCTAGTTCCCCTATTAAAAATCCCTGCTCACTGACCACATCTGTGAGGGACTGGAGGCTAAATAAAACCTAAGGTAGCCATGAAAATTCTCCAGTCAATCTACAGACAGTTTGCAAGGGGCTGCCATCTCTTCCTAGTGTGAGAGGAGTGTTGGGTGTCGTCTGGAACAATTCAACTCACTGAGTCTCATCGGGTCTTTGGAGAAGATGTCTGCAGATACATGTGCTGACCTCTGTGGTGACCCTTCTTAGACTAACCCTGAAATTGATGATAAATATGCTCACCCTTCGGCTGATTCTATTATCAAAGAAAGTACCTTGAAAACAAAGATAGAGTCCTACTGGCTCTAAGATGTCACTCACTCACTGCCATCGAGTCAATGCTGACTCACAGCGACCCACACAGTGACTGGGAGGGGCTACTGTGGGTTTCCGAGACTGTAACTGTTGATGGGAGTACAACGCCCTGTCTTTCTCCTTTGGAGCTGCGGGTGGTTTCAAACTGCCAATCGTGATTGCAGCCCACTTCATAACCACTACACTACCAAAGCTCCTACCAAAGAGGTCACAGCCTCCCTGAGTGTTCCTAACTATTCTCATTTTTTTGTAATCCTGGAGGCTTAGTGTTAAAACTGGTATGTCCTGGTCCTGTACAAGCTTCATTACATAAGTAACAAAGATAAAAATCCAAGTCACTAAGTATTTTAGCTTTAAGTTCCTCAGCCTATGAGGATTTTGGATTCTTCATCTGAACAGAATAGATGAGCCTAAAATGAAAGACCTATAACTATGTGGGCATGTCTTAGCACAAAGACCCTTGCTCGGATCATCATCCAGTCAGTGTAGAAAAATCCTGGGCCCTGAGGGGCCTTGCTGGGCGCTGGCACAGAAAGGCATGAGGAGAGATAGCAAACACTATCCTGTCAGGTCTAGAGTCAGACTTACCGGCAGAGAAACGATTTTGGCTCCTTGTGCTGCTGCCTCTCGGACAAGGCCACAAGCTCGAGTGAGGTTATCTGATTTGATAGAAGAAACTTGAAGCTGGACGAGGGCCAAGCGGAAGGCTGAGAACAAAGATAAAAATAGCTGTCAGCAGATCTCTGACTGCTAAATTCAAATAAATGTCATGGTTCTCTAGTAGGGGGAAATCTGTACCCATGGGATATCTTGAGAACTATTTGATAATCATGACTGATAGGGTGCTACTAGTATCTAATACAGCAGTTCTCAAACTGTGGGTCGCAACTCCTTTGAGGGTCGAATGACCCTTTCACAGGGGTCGCCTGATTCATAACAGTAGCAAAATTAGTTATGAAGTAGCAACGAAAATAATTTTATGGTTGAAGGGGGGGGTCACCACAACATGAAGAACTGTATTAAACGGTCGTGGCAGTAGGAAGGTTGAGAACCACTGCTCTAATAGATAGAGGTCAGGAATTCTGCTAGATTTCCTACAGTGCTCAGGACAGTCTCCAATAACAAAGAATTATCCAGGACAAGATGTCAACAGTGTTGTGGTTGAGAAGTCTTGAGATCGAGCAGGATCCATAAACAAAGTCCCGTGCCAAGAACAAGAACATACACACGTGAGGGCAAGGTCTGCTTCCCACCATGTGGTAATATGATGAATTCAGTGAGGGCATAGCTTGAAAACAGCTGCGGTTGATTCCTAGTCCTCATTATCTGTCCTTGGGTCTTCTACCCACTCACAACCAGGTACAAAGCTTGTCCTAGGCAAAAATTGCAAATCCTTGTACTTGCTGCCTGCAGTGAACTGGGACAGTGATCTATGGGAAGGGGAAATGCCTGTCTCAACTACTCCATCAATGGCTGGGACACAGTGTGTAGTCCAGAGGCTCACAGGAGGGACTGCCATGCAATCAATAGGCTACACGTCTCGGGTACCTGTAGCAGTGTGCACTTTCTCCATGAATAAAGTTGTACCCAAAGGAACACAGTAATAGTAAATAAAAACACCACAGCAATATAATAACATGTGCAGTAGCACTCAAGCAGAAACCATACATAGGAATAAATCTAACTAGAGATGTAAATACAGAGAAAATAACAAAACATTACAAGAAACCCAAAGCTGTTGCTGTCAGGTACCGTTGAGTCAGCTCTGATGCACAGAGACTCTATGTGAAACAGTCAAACGCTGTCCAGGCCTGCCCCATCCTCCCGATTGTTCTTAAGTTTGAACCCATTGTTACCACCACTGTTACAACCCAAGATCTTCCTCATTTTCCATTTCCCCTCTACTAAGCATGATGTCCTTCTTTAGGGACAGGACTCCCCTGATAACGTCCAAAGTAGGTGAGACGAAGTCTTGCTACCCTTACTTCTCAGAAGCATTCTGGCTGTGCTTCTTCCAACACAGATTTGTTGGTACTTTCTTTAGTCTTTCCCAGCATCATCATTCAAATGAATTGATTTTTCTTAAATGACCTTTTGTTTTCTTCATGGATGATGTTCTTGATGTTCTCCTACAGTGTATCACCGGATCAGGTCTACTGTCATTAAGTGTTCAATGTTCCAAATCTGTTTTTGAGATGTACTTGAAATTCTGGTGGGGTATACTCAAGGTCCTATTTTGACTTTAAAAAAAAAAAATCTTATTGGGGGCTCTTACAGCTTTTATAACTATGCATATTTCAATTGTATCAAGCATATTTGTACACATGTGGCCATCACTTTCTAAACATTACCTTTCATTTGAACCTTTGGTATCAGTTCCTTTTTCCCTCTTTCCCCTACCTTCCATGCTCGTGACCTCTTGAAAAATTAAAAATTATTGTTTTCATATCTTACACTAACCGCTGTCTCCCTTCACCCATGTTTCTATTGTTCAGCCCCCTGAGGAGGTGGTGGTGGTGTAATGCACAGATCATTGTAATCAGTTCACCATTCCTCCCCTTCTCCCCCCACCTTCCCCTACTCTTCTCTATTAATACACCCATTTCTGCTCCTGAGGGGTTTATCTGACCTGGATACCAAGTGTCATGAGTTCTTATCTGTACCAGTGTAAATGCTCTGGTCTAGCCAGAACTGAAAGGCAGGACTGGGGTCATGATGGTGGGGGTGGGGTAGAGGGTGAAGAACCCTCAAAGAACCAGAGGAATATTGTGTGTTTCACCAGTGCTATACTGCACCCTGGTTGGCTCATCCCTTCCTTGTGACGGAACTATTTTGGCTTTCATAGACCTGCTTTAATTTTCTTCAACTTCAACCTGAACTTACATAGGAGTAATTGATAATCTGTTCCAGTTAGATCCTGAACAAAAAAGACTTACATAAATGGAAGAATGCTCTATGTTTGTGGATTGGAAGACTTGACATAGTAAAAATGTCAACATTACCAAAGCAATCTATTTACATACCACAATTCCGACCTAAATCCCAGCATTATTTTTTATAGAAGTGTTAAAACTAATCACTGACTATCTGGAAAGAAACCCAGGGAAATAAAACCCTACTGAAACCAAAAGGAATCACAGGTACAACTTCCTGGACCTTTTCTCGCCAATGCAATTTCCCACTTTCTTTCAACGTCTTCCTAATAAGCCCTCCTAAGTGGCTTGTGTCCTTGAAGAAGAGCTCTCAAGATTATCCCCATGGAATTCTACCTCCAAAAGTTACTATAACCTTCTAAGGTGAACTCTGTGCCGAATTTAACTGACCTGGCAGATCTTCTCAGGTGCCACAGTTCTTACTGAACTTTGCTCTCTGGAACATATTGGTAACTCTAAAACTTGCCCCTGGTTATAGTTCAATCAGCCCCACCCCTCTTTTTTCAAATTAAAAAAACCTTATTTTAATTAACTTTAAAAATCAATTAACATATCATTCATGTGTCATACAATCCAAAGGTTTGAACATATTAAAGAGTCGTGCAATCATCACCACAATCAATTTTAAGACACTGATTCATTGTTATTAGATACTAATATCTCCCCACCCTTCTCTGTAAGAAACTATTATTTTAGTTAATTATCACTATAGATTTACCTATCTTAGATTTCATATTAAAAAATCATATAAAAAATAACAGAACAAGAACTTTCTTGATGACACCTAACAGTATCAGTAAGTTTTATAGCTTTTACTTTCTGCATTTGTAAAGATAGACAAGCTGGATATAAGAAAGAAATGGCACACACCAAGTGATCCCTGAAGATGTAGGTTGTATAGCAAAGTATGGTGGAGAAATCAAAGGGTGCCCAGCTATCAAAGAACAGAATCTGGAGCGTGTAAAAGGTGTATACTAAACCAAGCAGCCATCTATGTGAGGTAGCAGCTAAGTCCTCACAAAGGGAGTATGTCTGTAGATTCAGGCACACCCCATGTAAACAAAGCCCCCTCCCCGCCACCCCCACCACGTCCCTGCTTTTGCCTCTGAGTGCACACACCCATCCCCATTCACACAGCCATAGCAACAGACCTCCATCACCCACACACAAACCACACCCCAGTCTTTGGTCTTTTCACCACACATTCAAACATTTTGTTCTTCTTTTTCTCCTTGCCTTTTCCTTTCTTTTTATATCTTATTCCCTTCTCTCTTTCCTTTCCCTTTTCTCCTTTAATACTTCTTCACACACACACACACACGAATCCTCTTCTTCTGATCTGAACATATGGTTACATTTTCCTCCTGTTCCACCCATTCTGTTTCAATTCTCTTCATTTTTCCTTATGAAATATATTTCCATGACATCTTAAATTCAGATTACTCCCTCAAGATAAAATTTCCAATTATTTTTACATCAAAAAGTGGCAAGGATTACTGTGTTTACTATTTTCATGATATCTTTGCTTTTTTGTGACATATTAAAATCTAGCAGACATGAAAAAAAAAACCAGAACAAGAAAAAACCCTACCAACATTAACAAAATAAAACACAGAAAATTCTCAATGCAAAAAAAGGGAGAATAAAATCTAAAACAAATGAAAACTTAGTCAAAAGGAAAAATAAATTAAAATTTAACCTTCTTCTATCCACATTAATTTACTTCTGATGCTCTCTGTCTGAGGAGGACAATGTTACCCTAGGTCTGCAGTCATCCATGGAGGCTTAATCCCCATGGGACCTGTGCAGACGGCCCTGGGGCTTTCACTGACATCCAGAGCCTTCTATATAAATTGGATGCACAGAATTGAAGGTCTAATACAATTTCCTTCTCTGATCTTGGATCTTATTATTTATTATTCTTGGATCATATGTGCTGGTGTGCTTCTTCTCTGTGGGCTTAGATGACACCTCACTTAGATGGCTGCTTGTTTTAAGACAAGCTTTTAAGACCCCAGTCAATATTCATTTTGATAGCCAGTCACCATCTGCTTTCTTCACCATACTTTGCTATAGCACCCATATCTTCAATGATCTCTTCATGAGGATAAATAAGTATTGAGCAGGACTGAATCAGAATTATTTGTTTTTAGATTAGTGCTTAAGGTTAAGTGTGAACCCAAAATTCATTTATACGTGGAAACATTGTCAATTTGGGGGAGATAATATAAGTAATCTCCTTGGGGCCTTTGGTAATTCTTTTTGTTTGTTTTTTTTTTTGGTAATTCTAGTAGTATCACTAAACTAGCCAATGGTATAGGATTTAAAATAGTATTGAGATAAGGGTGGATATTCATATGTGGAAACGCTGTTTAGACTCAAATACACGGGATGATCACTTCTATATGTGTAATAACAAGTGACTGGATTGCATTAAGACAACAATGTGAGTTAGGTACATGGCAGAACGTTCAACAGCACTCATTCACTATGGCAAATATATGGTAGTCTTAAATTGCCTTTCACTAAGCAATCTCAAAAACAAGAGGTGTGAACTTTAGTCCATTGACTTCCAAAGCCATGACCTTGGGCAAGCATCCCTCTTCTTTCAAGTGGGCATTACAGTTTTAAGGAGTATATCAGTTCCTCAATCAGCATTTTGAACTAGCTATGTTTGTGCAACACCTTTTTAAATTCTAGGATTTTTTTTAAGGCACACTAATAAAACTCAGAAGAAAACTACTGAGAGGACCTGTCTGCAGCCATTCACTGATGGTAGAGACACATTTAAACATATTTTGTCTGGAACAAACCAGTGCATGTATGACCTGGAACTCTACTAGCAATTCTTGACCTATCTTTGTATATTCATGTATATTATTTAGCAGATAGGGGACACAGATATGGATACTTATTAGACATAACCAAATACCTCATGGGATTGAGCAATTGAGCTTGAAGCCTAAGCACCATCTAGATAAATTAACATTACATAGGACATATAACAATGTTTTATATCCTAATTTAGTGAAGAGCTTGAAAGTGGCCACATAAAATACAACTATTGATCTCTTCTCACCCAAAGTGGATGTCAGAACAGACTCTGAAATTTGTTCTTGATTGTACAGTAGCTACAACAAATGGAAGGAAAGAGAAAGTAAAAGAGCTAGATAAAAAATTTTCAAAAGGCGAAAAAACGAGGACCTAATGCCAGGGGCTTAAGTGGAGACGAAATGTTTTGAGAATGATGAGGGCAATGAATGTACAAATGTGCTTTACACAATTGATGTATGTATGGATTGTGATAAGAGTTGTATGAGCCCCTAATAAAATGGTTAAAAAGAAAAAGAAAAGGAATAAACTGATAGAGGCAACAATAAAAAAAAATTTCAAAAGGCAACTCAAAAAGACAATGAAATGTAGAAATACCACATATACTTGAGTATAAGCCAACCCGATAATCAGCTGAGGCACCTAATTGTACCACAGAAACTGCATTAAAAATGTGCTGAAAAACTCGGCTTATACATGAGTGTATATGGTACCTGGAATTAGAAAGCTAAAGGGAAGAACATGCACAGCATTTCTCAAGCTGAAAGAACTGAAGATTGAAATTCAAGCCTCAAGTTGTAATATTGAAGGATTCTATGGGAAAAATAGTGAATGCCAGAAACATCAAAAGAAGATGGAGGAATATACAGAGTCAGTGTACCAAACAAAAAGAAACTGGTCAATATTCAATTATTTCAAGAGGTAGCATGTGGAATTGAAGACATGGATGAAAAATAGGATTTCGGGAATTGATGCAATGCCCCCTGAAATGTTTCAACAAACTGATGCAGTGCTGGCAGCACTCCCTAGTTTTATGCCACGGTTTTGAAAGATAGATACATGGCCAACCACATGGAAGAGCTCAATATTTGTGCCTATTCCAAAGAAAGGAGACTCAACAGAAGGTGATTATTGAACAATGGCATTACTATTACATGCAAGTAAAATCTTGTTGAAGATGATTCAAAAACAGTTGCAGCCATATACTGAGAAAAAGAGAGCTGCCATAAATTCAAGTCAGATTTAGAGGATATGGAACAAGGGATATCCATGCTGAGGTCAATGGATGTTGGCTAGAAGCAGAGACTACCAGAAAGATGTTTACTTGTCTTTCATTAACTATGTAAAGGTATTTGATTGTTTGGATCATAACAAACAAAGAATTCTTGAACATTTATGTGGAACCTGTACAGGGACCAGAAGGGCATAATATCTGGTTGAAAATCAGGAGAGGTGTGCGTCAATGTTTTATCCATTCACCACACTCATTCGATCTGTATGCTTAAGAAATAATCTGAAAAGCTGAACTATATAAAGACTGCAGTAGTAGGATTTGAAGAAGACTCATTAACCACCTGTAATATGCAGATGATACAAATTTGTTTCCTCAAAGGGAAGAGGACGTTAAGCACTTGGTGATGAAAACGAAAGATTGCAGCCTCCACAATGGATTACAAAACAATCTAAAGATAAAAATCTCCACAGCTGGACCAATGGGCATCACTATGATAAATGGAGGAGAAATTATTGAAGTTGTCAAGTATTTCATTTTACTTCGATCCCCAACCAACACTCCTGGAAGCAGCAGTCAAGGCTTCAAATGACATTTCATTGGATGGAGTATCACTTTGAAGTGTTAAGGAGCAAAGATGTCGCTTTGAGGGGTAAGGTGTGCCTGACCAAGTCGTCTCACACACCTGTGAAAGCAGGACAGTGAAGAAGGAAATCCCAGAAGAACTGATGCCTCTGAATTGTGGTGCTGACCGAGAATATGAAAGTTCCAGGGACCACCAGAAGAACAAACTGGTCTTGGAGGAACCACAGCCATAACGCCCTTACAAAAGCAAATTCAATTCATGGACATGGGGCATATATGAGGGAGTGCCCCCCCCATGGATTTTTTTAATCAAAGCTATATATTAAAAAAAATTTTTTTTTACAAAATAACCTTATCATCTTCAAAGTACTCTCCATTACACTGAATACATTTGTCAAATCTGCAATTCTATTCTTGGAAA